ATCACGTTCAACCTCGTCGTGTTAGTTGTATCTCCGAGCCTTACAGATGACCCAATATTTCACGTATTTGGCTCATCAATATAAACCACACTGTTGTGGTGCTTTGGTCGTGCTTCTGGTACTACATGCCTGCATTTTCAGGGCCAAGCACTACTACTGTCCAACAAACAGCCTGAGTCTTTTTACTAGAATTGTCAAATGATAGGAATCACCACTCCGTTGTGTTCTCGATGGCTTACTCCATGATGGGACTTTGTAGCTCTTTCCACATGCAACTCACACAAATTCCAATTCATGTGTCAACTTCATCAAGTGCGTCAGTGTGATATTCTCAAGGTCTTGATTTTATCTCCTTCCAAATGTAGCCCCCTCCCTCCTTCTTGATTTTCTAGTAGCTATGAACACAACACGTTTTTTTGAGAAGCAGTAGGTCTTCCATGTCGAGAAATTTGAATACTAGCTTCCCAATGTATTTCGGTGCGCTGTTTGTACGCTCGCGCCATCTTCCCCTCTCCTACCCTCTAAATCTTCTCATCGTGTGGCGGCAAATCAAACATCACGTGCTGGAAAATCGCGAATTTCCGAAGCGTGGGAGATTGACGGAAGCACCGCTCCGCTGGATCCTTTCATCTAGCGAGCTGAAGTTTGCCCAAGCCCACTCGAACCGAGTTGCTTCCTTCAACAATCTCAGGTATCACGGCTCAAAAAGAAGTAAATCCCACCCATGGAAATTCCGTTGAGTTGGAAATCTCACTGGCCGGACTTGAATCTCACGTCACCCGAATCTCACTAATAATTTTTATACAGTATTTGTGCCATACACCCACTCTTGGCAAGGAAATGAAGGTTACATACAAATGAGCAAGCTTCAGCGAATCGCGCGAGTTGTAATCTACAAGGGGCTGATAGTTTCTTGTCTTCGCGGCCGTAAAGTTGATTATAGATTGACGCGTCTGCGACCAAGTTTCAACAACCACCTCAGTCGAGGCGAAGGTGAACAAGGCTATGATAAATCCAAGGTACAACCGACGATTTGAGGCGTCCGGCTTTCTTAGCAGCTTTCTGACTGTAGCGCAGAAAAGCAGACAGTAGAATCCTGGGAGAGTGGGATGAGAAGAATGTTGAATCGACAATTTTCCTCGGACGCAGCCCACCGTAAACGAGAAACATGGACTGTCCTAAATGTTAACACTGTTCTTTTGCTCACATCGACAAGCGAAGGACACGTACCGATAACGTGCTGATAGGGAGAACAAAGACTTGGCGGACAGTCAAGAACGGGGCGACCATCTCTTGCAACGAAGACATGGGGTAGACACGGCAGTTGAAGCTTCTCGAGACCTTCTCGCAGCGCCTTTATGGTCCCCTAAGTCACGGCGGCTATCGAGTCCAAAAATATTTCTCGAGTATCCATTCCGGGTGTCGGGCGCCGCTGAGTAGGATGTGTCACTGACAGGTAGCTTCTATAACATAGCTGTGGTTTTCGACTCGCCACTCCAGATGGACTTGGTTCATGCCAATCATTAACTAGCATGGAGCAGAATGAGTCCCGATAGCGCTACTTACACGGCTGAGGTACAAATGCTGAAGTCTGCGGCATGGGTAGACACGGTTGGATATTCCCGCGCGAATCCACTAGGAACAGGTTCAATCAATATCGCGCCCATACGAAGAACATGTTCGATGTTCACCTCCGAGGTTCTAGTGGCTGACTGATGACATCTTGGATCGCACATACAATTTGAGTCACATTTGCATTTCATATCGGACGCGTTTTCTGTCAGCTATTCTGATGTTAACAAGCAATATGACTGGGTGCTGAAGCGAACAGATATGGGTAAGATATATACGCGTGGAGCTTAGTGTATCAGCGCCGAGCAGCGAGGTGTCTCACTGGTTCTCCTATTGAAATACCACTGGGTGTCATAATTCTCAGCGCTGCGCGTTAGACCAACCAAGATCCCGCCAGACTAGAAATATAGGAGCAATGACGATTGTGAGCGAACAAAGAATGCTCGATAACACAAAAACACTCAGGCTGGGCTCCGAACAAGGTCAGATTTTGGCAAGGAGTCTACAATCCGGTACAAATATAACGACGGAAAGGCCTATCAGAGGATTCTGAGAACATGATCAGATCTTAGGTCGGAAGACCGCGGGGGAACTCACCGTATATTAAGAAAGGGTATATGAATAACACAGCAACTCAGGAAAAAACCTATCCTGTCTGGTCGTCTAACATGAGTCTCTTCATCCGTGTTTGCGAAGTCCAACAACCGGATTGGGATAATATCCCACAACCTCCTTTTCGTCCTTCCCTTCGACAACTCGGACCGCCAGCGGCCATACTACCCATGTTTAACCGAGACAATCCAACAAGGTCAAGGTGCTCTATCCTCGATCGAATGTGGAGAACAACCAACTCAAGGCCCCACCCAACCCGTGACTGTAAAAACAGCTCCGAAATATAAACACGCCGCGGGTTGATGATTGGTGATGCGGTAGGATTGGATACCGCCGGGTCTTTGGCAAGCGTAAAATGAGCGAAATCAAGACTTCGGCAAGAAGATAGAAGCGTAGCAGCGATATCAGGGTAGACTTCTATTCTGAGGGAAGGTATTCGAGACTCCATCAACGTATCGAGTAATTGATGAGGTATGAAATGCCCTTCTCGACCGGAGATGTACAAACCACTGTATTTGGCGGAGATGAGGTATTCTAAGAGTTCCAGGCCTATTGGATTATCTCTACGATCGAGGGCGACGTGAAGAGATTGTAGATTTGGAGTCGGCCATTCGTCGATATCTTCAAAGAGAATCTGGTGTTCAAATCCACCAGACTGCTGAACGTAGGTGAGGCACCGCCATCGAAAAGAGTGAGAGAGGAGAATGGAAATAATTTGGCTGGTGACTGGGTTGGTATGAGCTGTACAGGAAGTGCACTCTACCTCGAGGTATAAGAACTGATTCTTTGATCGTGCGAGGCATACCTCCAGTCGAACAATACCATACGGATAGGGTATGTCATCAATCTGCAAAAAGACGGAGATCCGTGCCCAGGCACAAGCGGTGGCAATCGTTATGTCTCGCCAACAACGGCAAACTTGGGCGTATGTGAAAGCTTCCGAAACTAGTTTCCGCGCTAGATCTGCTGTGAACACGTTTCTTTAGACAGCCAGGAGTATGATATGGGCGAGGATTTCCGCAGGTACTCGTCGAAAGGGAGAAAATGGTTGTTGAAATTCGATTCGGGATTCCTTCAACCGTTTCAGCTCTGCCTCCTGACGTTCGATCTGTGCGGATGACAAAAAGATTGCTGTGTTCGCGCAGTGTAAATAATAATTTGAGGTAGAAGTTAGAGTAAAAGTCCATGTATTCGTGTATCTACTACATTCGCTTTATATATTCGTAGTACTATGAATCCTAGTCATAATTAGTAATATAAATGAGTCTTATTGACTTAGAAGGTCGAGTCATACTTGACTCATCTTGGTGGTAGCTTGACTGTACGCGTTCCAGACGCGTCGGGTCTTCCCTCGGAGTCACGAGTCTTGGACCGGTGGCTGTACGCGGTCTAGGCTTTGACTCGTGCTTCCAACATGCTGCCCTGGCTGTTTCGACTTCTGCGACCGTTAGAGATCGTTGGTAACGAAGAGCGGCGGGAGAAATGCAAGGTAACATGGTCTTGAAAAACTAAGAAGAGTATCAGTGCTTTGAAGAAGGAGGAGCAGCAACACGAAAACTTGCATGCTTGGGGATAAGGTGACGACACACGTGCTAGCCTGCTAGGTCCTGTCAGTCAGCTTGCGGTCAGTACCTCGTTGTAAACGCGTTCTCTGCTTTGCGGCGAATTCTGAACCCCGCACAATCGGCTCGGATGTCACATCCGACCCTGAACCTGCCTTGAACCCAAACCACGATCACCGTGAACCGTACGTCTTTTGCGGATAGAAGTTATCGCTTTAGTGTTCGTTTGGTTTACTTGGCTTCTCCTTTTGTTCTCAGATCTTCAGTTTCCTCCCGCCGAAATCACTTTTATCTCTCATCCGTGTGAATCGTGTATTTTGGTCGACATTGTTATCCCCCGAAACAACGTTTATATGATACATGGGAAGAGATGGGCGAAGTACAGTGAGTTAGGCTGTTGGGAAATCCAAACTGCTTGGTACGTGTTTCGTATACTTGGGCTACAGATGTCTTTCGTGGGACTGACGCATGTCGGTACTTCTGCGGTGCCAAAAGCGTGCACAAGATCGAATTTATCTTGAAGATCAAGATATGCTTTGCGTGCATCGAGGCGAAGTACGTTTACCCCATTTGCACGCTTGAATCTCAGTGAGAATGACCATCCGAACTTTCAGTGGAGTCAGCGAAGGCCAACTTGAACGAGAGAATCCGGACAAACATAAGCTTATCTTGGATCTGGGTCAGCCAATGAGTGGTGAGTGTTTGACGTATGACTGCTGTATCCCTCCTGTATAGTTCCGCTGGGAATCGCAATCATACCTCTGACAGATATCAGATTCGAGTTTCCTAGCCCAGAATCTGACCACACACAATATGAAATAGGACGACCTCATAAAGTTGAGAGATGTCGTTCATCGCTGTCGAACTTGGCTATGGAATGTCCTCAACAGGAGACAGTTTCGTCGGAGCCCTGTAGGTATGTAAATCGGATCTCACCGAGTAGCCTCAATCCTACGAGCACGCTAAGCTATGGCAGGGCTTATATTCAAACCACAGAGTACATGGTGCTGAGGATAAGGCAACGACGTGAGAGTAAGGTAAAAGAGTGACTGCCTGAGATGACCTCGGGCGAAGGTTTAAGTAGGAGAGAGCGTGGGAACTATCTACGGTACTTCCCGTTACAAGGTACTTGGCACTCAAAAAGTCCTTTCAGGGTCCAAAGCTTCTGTACGGAACAAGAAAGGGTTTGTTGGGTATTCAAAATTGGCGGCTGGTGGGTCAAGAGAATATAATTGCTATGCCCATCCTTCTTCATGACCACCGCAGGGGTCGAACCTGCAATCTCCTGATACAACGTGAGCCACGACAACATCGTAGTCAGACGCGATGCCATTTCGCCAGGCGGCCGATGGGATTAAGTTCTACCATCATTGCTCTGTATCCACAATCCTGGAGAGCAAGAACACCGAAGATAAACTTTGCTTATGTCAAAGAATGAGGAGGCCATCCGACATTCTACAACAAGCCTTTCGTAAGCAAACCGATGTACGTAAAATGAAGAAAAGAAACACGCGCCCTGATTTCGACGAAGCTGTCTGAAAATCGTTCGTGTCTGTTTCTATGTATTAGGAGAAGAAAAAGAGAAGACATTGAAAATCCTCCCGTCACTGAAGAACTCATGACAACTGGCGCCGAGGCAGTCCGGACGAGGCAGCGCAATCCCCTTCCCCCGTCGTCGAGTAACTATCTGGTAACTATGTGCTCTTTTTCCAAGCGCCTTGTTGTTTCATCCCAGATCTTGTTTGGCCGCCGACCCAACAACCTCTTTCATCACTTGAAAGCAAAAGGCCCACCCCCGTTCGTTGGCATAGCGGGCTCGTTCGCCAACCACGCCGGAACAGGGGGCCTCACAACAAGCCTGATCGTCACCCAGCGAGAACCGGTGCAAGCAGAGGAAACACTATACGCCACAGGTATAGTGCGAGAGCTGATTGATCTACGACCTTTTTTTGGTGAGGCCATCGGAATAGGAAGGAAAAGTGTCTTGTTTCTAGAGTTGTTCCAAAACTCCTGCATTTCCCTTCCCCACCTTCAACCGAAAACCAACGCTCGGTTATAGGGCTACCACCAGGAAAGACGCGGCCTTGGATCTCGTGAGTAACCACACCCGACGTTCCGAGTGGGAAGACAAAGTTAATTTGGTCGAGGGTCAGGGGAATGGATCATGAGTATAGGCAGAATGATTGCATGATCTATCAGCCCTCCCAACGGCGAACTCTCCTTCAGCCTCCATGGTTTAGCCAGAAACAACGAGAAGATGGATATGGTTCCTCCGTCGTGGGTTAAAATGAAATGGAAGGGAGGTGAACGTGGGATAAGAGCATGGGGAGTTTCAGTGAATCTGGGAGCTCCTTTCGTCGGTCGACATGGTGGGACGTCCGAATGGGGAGCCGATGTTATCAATATCCATGCTGGGTCCTTCAATAACCCTCTTTCACAGCCCAAAAAGAAATGTCAGACCGACGAGTAGATGCGACTATACCCGGTAGTGTACATGGCCACGAGGGCAGATGGAGGAGATGCCCATATAGACTTCCTGCATTGGGAGAGGCGTGTTTGTTCACCAGGACGGGGTGATGATAGCGGGGGACAGGGAAAGACGGGAGAGTAGGTGAAACGGGAGGGGCATGACCTTCTTTCATACGAGACGATGAAAAAGACGGTCAGAAGGGTCTTGAGCCCGAATTCCACTACCAGAACCGGAAGTGTTCATATCCTCTCCTCTCGCCAGCCATTACCACCGCCCATCCCCTCTCCTTCTTTGACATGTGGACGGTGTAGGATAGTAGAGAACGATCCGTCGTGACATCGCCAGTCATCCATGAAAGACGCCTGTGACTGCCGCAGTTTGCAAGAAGGCATCGAAGAATTGGTCGAGGAATCGAAAGAGATAGGTACTAAAGACAACTCCTAGAATGGCCTAAACACGCGAAATATGAGCACTCAAAGCGACGACTGGACTGAACTTCTGATTGCCGTACTATCATAAGAGATCCAGCGAAACCAGGATAACCTCCTCGTCGTCGAACGAGGTAGAGACACGAAGACTTTGAGGAGATGGATCTGCCAGGGCGCATAAGGATAGTCCTCTGCATGGCGACGACAAAGGAGAGAGAGTCGACTTGCTCAGGGCGCTCAACGTGGTGGAGGTGGTTTGGTTGCCGTAACGAGCAGTAACAATGAGGGGGGGCATCGTCCTGCAACTCCAAAGATGAAGCGTTTGGAGGCGTTTGGGCGGTTTTGGAGGGATAGCGGTCACGATGGAGGGTATGATCGAACACAAAGGGAGCTATCGGAAAAGAGCCAGCCAAAGCGGTGACTCGTGAATCGGTCTTTCAACTGATTTACCTCGCTTGATGGCGACGGGCTAGAGGTAGCTGGAGGACGAGAAACATTGATCATGCAACTTGAGTTCCGTTCAACGTCATGCAGGCGGTCGTGAGATGTCACGATTTTGTCATCTCCGTAACACTTCGGCATTTGCCGTGATATTACAGTATCTCCGCAAGCGCCAAACTCTCCGCCTGAAAGTTCATCCTCATTCCGCGGGCTGTGAAGGGCTTGGCTAACGACAATTTGAAATAAAATTGTTCGATCGAGTTTAATGAAATAGACAACCAACTGGCACCACAAACTTCTTAGAAATAACGGCCATTTGCTCGTGCTCCTAGCTCACTTCGGAACCAGGGATCACCCCCCTATCTACTTACCATTCTTTCTGATCTAAACGAGTTTCAGGTCTGAACGACGTGAGATGGTGTATCTCCAAGATTGTTTTGGATTTTGAGGCCCCGAGTTGTCATCTTTGGGCCGCTATTACCACCACCACACCACCTTATGTTCGTTCCATAGGATCTTATCCTCGCAGAGACAAAGAATTCATCCCTAATACAACATCCACCAAAAAGGAGATGGATATCGTTCCTGCCACTGCATGAGTTGCTTCTGATCATATGCTTCACCTCACTGAGATAGCCTTGGCCTACTCACATACAGCTTTCTCGTCAGTGACACTGACATACCGAGTCTTCCCGCCGCTTCTCTGGGCTTTGAAAACTACAACTTGGACAATGTTAATAGTGGCGACATGACTGTCAATGGCAATGGAGGGGTCTTCAACGGGAACTTCAACATCACTAGATCTCGGAACTCACAGAACAACTCGGACCTTTCGACTAAGTCGCCTACCCTTCCATCTTCAGTACCCTCTACATCGCCGGATTCTTCGAAAGCAGTCATTGCCGAGAGCGTCGTTGGGGCCGTTGCGTTCATCTTCTGTCGATTATTCGCTTTGGTACTATTCCACAAGCGTAAGAACAAGCAAAGTGAGTTGCATTGCGGTACTCACTGTATCGCTATTAATCTCAAAGTGCAATATAGAAAATCGAGAGACGTTGATCACACCATTACCTTATCAGGCTAATTTATTCTCATTCGCTCCCAAGATACGGGGTGCCCTCCGAGATCAACAATCTCCACTCCCAGGATCCGCAGGTGGGGGTATGACAGAACATCCAACAACCGACATTCAGGCACAGTTGACCCGCATACTTCGAAGACTGGATACGTTGGAAGCGAATGGTTCGGAGAGAGTTCCGCCACTGGATTATGTTTCAATTCATTAGGGTTGTAAGATTTTGAATTGTATGTGATGACTACAAGGTTTGGATTCTACTATTGTAGCCAGCTGCATGATGACTACCAACTTTGTTACGACGGCGGGAATGAACATGATAGGCTAATCAACTTGATTCGGAAATTCAGCTGTCTCACCGGGTATTTTCAGGTTTCAGTGGTGGCGGGCTCCGTTATCCTTCGAAGCACTCAGATCATAGACTAGCATCAATCTGGAGAACGTTCTATAACGGTTTGGTTCGGCTGTTCACCTCCCAACATGTCAATTTGCTGTTGTCTCGGGTGCCCTTAATTTTTCTATTGGATGTCCTGGAGATCTCCGAGCCAATTGTCGTAGAAATTTTCACAGCGACCACGCTGGAAATTTCCAGCTTTAATTTCCAGCTTTATGCACAGGATCATGTCTAGGCTACCAGTATGAATTTCTATGACCCCACAGCAAAGTACCAACCATAAGTTATGACGGCAAGTCGCATTCCTTAGGCTAACGGTGTGCCTGTAAATTTGGCGTGCGAAATCAGATTCTACACTGATAACTGAGCGTAAAACATGAAAATACGCCATCCAAGAGTCTTTAAAATGCGTCTATAATGCCGTCTTGACTAGTTCAAATCCTCGCAGACCATGGTTCTGCATCCCAAGAACCCAGTGGCGGGATACAGGGGGCAAGAGCAGCCCCGAGCCGTGGAAAAATTATCGGAAAGGGATCCCTGCCACCCCGCTGAGTTTCACGAAATGCTTGATACCTTCAACGGCCGGAGGTATACAGCACGTAAAAATATCCACTACCAGTGACAAGCAGGTGGCCTGGAATCTCCGCGATCCCGCAGGTTAGATATAACATTCACCACTATAGGGTTATACCCAATAGGTACAGTGAGGGGTATGCCTGAGGTGATTTGGGTCTGGACAACAAGGGATGGTAGCTACAAGATCTGTGTTGCAGAGTTCATTTGGATTCTATCCCCGTGCTGCTGCTGCCGTCACCTTAATAGCATTCATGTTCCCTTTAAATGTTCTTTTCCTTACCACTAGCACGACACCTCCTTCATTCAACATCAACAGAGAAAACAGATGGGGATTCTTCCTGCCTCAGTGTGAGTTGCTTCTGGTCATATGCTCCATCTCACTGAGATTACCTCGACCTACTCACGTTCGTTCAATTTTGACCTTCCCGCCAGTGCAACCAATGCAACAAGTCCTCTGGTCTCTTCCTTGGCCTTCAAAAATCATAACTTTGATAATATTGGCAACATCGTGACAGCAGGTGCGACAGCAGGGGCGACAGCCGGATGCTCCATTGGTACTCCGAGCTCAGAGGACAATTCAAGCCCGGATCCGCTGTCTACGCTTGTGCTATCATCCTCCATCAGTACCCCGAGCTCAGAAGACATTTCGAACTCGAATTCGTCATCTACGCCATCCTCCAAAGTATCCTCTACATCACCAGGACCTTCAAAAGAAATCATTGCTGGGAGCGCCATTGGGGGAATTGCACTGATCCTCCTTCTATTGTCTGCCTTGGTCATATTCCAGAGGCGCAAGAACAAGCAAAGTGAGTTGCATCGGGTTATTTACTGTATCACTGTTGATCGCAAAGCGCCATGTAGGTACACAAAAGACGTTGATCACACCGTTACCTTATCCGGCCAATTTCACCCCTTCACCCCCCATACCCCGCAAATTACGGGCAGCGGTCCTCCGAGATCAAC